TATCCAAAGCAGAGGCTTGAGCTCTTATCGGAGGCCACAATTCAAAGATGAAGTGATTTCAAGCCATATCTAAATGCAAATTAACTGCTTTACCCGAAAAAAAGTACGTGGTCTTCCAAAGAAATTTACTAAATTAAACGAACGATGCACAAAAAGAGTGTAGGGGAAGACAGGTCTCTTGCGTAAAAAAAAGTAAAATGGATCATAGGATGCAAAGTCAGCAAAGCAGCGCGTTAAGAGGAGAGTATGGCAATGCAAACTAAAATTTGACTTCCGAGACCGATGTAGGCGGCAAGAGAATGCGGAGCGTGGGTGCGTCGACATCCTCGTCATCGGATTCCGCATCCTGAGTATTGGGATCGCCAGCAGAGTAGGCAACAAACAGATTGACGTAGGCATCTTCCGGGGCGTACCTCAAAAGACTAAGTAATCTGGAAAAGAAAGTGTAGAGCTAGGGGTATGAATGGTCGGAAAATGAAACACTATTGACACTTTCCAGAAGAAACGCTCACTATCGACTGCAACACAAACGCTGACATGTCGAGAGAAACCGTGGGTCCATCTGCTGTACAGAACAAGTGCCAAGAGCGAATAAATAGAAATAGCTTGGAAGAGGACTTTCAGTGGGTAAATTTGTTAGCTTTGCGGTGGCGATACAAAGACAAGATGAAGCAAAAGAGGGCTTTATAGCAATCCATCATGTGACGATAGATTGATATGTACCTGTACTGCCAGTATGGTGAATTATAACATAGAGTTATACCACTGCCTGTCTGCCCGCTAGCAGCACGTGTATATTACGCGGTTATGCCGCAGTGGCTAATGGAGTTCAGCCTAAATATAAACATCAAATTTCCGTCTAAACCTACAGACCTTGAATAAACTGAGCTACGGAAATTAAAAAGTTGAAGCTCCGAAATCCGCATGTCAACCAGAAAGCCGATAGGGAAAGTTGGGGGAGCCCTGAATGGGCCGGAGCCCTCGCAGCTGTCTCAAGCAGCGGCAGAATACAGGCGAAGCAACCGTATCTGGGACATTAGATAATACATGTGTTGTCAGGATGGTAAATTACAACATAATAGCCAGTCTATAAAAAGATGAATACATCCTCGGAATGGCCTTAAAAAGAGAAATCTTGAGGAAAGATAAAACACACGAAGGAGACAGTGCATAACTCCAACTCAATTCCTAAGCAGCGGCAGGCCCTATATAGCAAACGTAATCGTGCAAAAAGTTGCTTATATAACGATGCCAATTTATGCGTTCACTCTCGACAGTGAACTACATAAAAGTTTCCACGCAAGTACTACGGGGGTACATATCTTACAGTCTTTTTAGAATTTTTTCATTATAAATGAGAAAGTAGAGCGGTTCGAATAATGTTCCTCAGTTGCATATGTACGGTAAAATGTATATCTGCTAAAATGTGAAGCTAAAAATTTGAGTGGGGGACTTAACACACATTTGAGGTTGTTCATTTGGTTGACTTGAGGCACAAAATGCTGTTTACTAGAAAACATTTCAGTTCAGGTCAGTATACTAGGGACAAATAGGGGACCAAATCCAACGTTTGTTGATATTCAACGAATTTCCTATACTATAAAACGCTGTGCATGTTGTACTATAAAGGAGCATTAACAAAACCAGAAACTTTTATTTTATTTTATGCGTTCTCAGAACAGACAATTTTGTTTGGCGTTCATGTAACTAAGGTAGGTGCAAGTATGAGATAACACATTGTTGTCGGGAAAAAAGGAGCAGAGTCAAATAACAGCATTTTGTCTTGCAAATCTGATAGGCTTTGTGCCGTAAAGGTAAGAAATAAACTCATGATACCATAAGTTGTTTTACTACGCCGAAAATAGAGCCCGTAATCAGCTATGTATGAGATGTCGCGAAATGCTATAAGTTTTCTCTGTAACACCGTAAAAGAACCCCGTTCAAACATCTTTGATATATAGAAGAGAATCAAGGATTATAAAGACTTGAAACTAAACGGACAGAAGATTATTATTTTTTAGTAAAATCGTCTTTTGCTTTTTTTTTATCTTAGAATGGAAACGAGAAGTAAAACATACTGAAAACTGCTCCGGTATGCATAGAAAAGTGAGTTCCTTCATTTTCAGCAGAAGATTTATCCCACTTTTTCGGGAAGTCAAAAAATGGTCATAATTTTCCACTTTCATCTTGATCTAATTTTAAAAAGCTAATCTACACAGTTATTCGACGCCCAGATGTCTAATAAAAGTGCGTTTTTAAGAGGTAACTTGCTATATAATTTTTTTAAATAATCATGGACGTATTCATTCGCGACGTTTGTCGTGGACGTTCATTTTTCTTGGCAATGACTTGACATATATGAGTGATTCTAAAACCACGACTCAAACGGCCAAAATAGCTTTCTTCTGTGACGACTCAATCAAGTGAAAGTCTGTTTGATTTAGTCCAGCGTATTTCAAAAGTTGTAGAAGCAAAGAAACAACTGAAACGTTTCGTAAAATAATCTTCTATTACGAACTGGAACTTTAGGCTGTTCGGTAACAGCCATACTTTACATTGCACATATGTGTTCGAAAATTTCATAAGACGATTATTTCTCAAACGTAATTCTACTTGTGCTGCTTTATTCACTCGGTTTTATGCAGGAATACACTACCTATACATTTAAAAGGTAAGTTAACTTAGTAGTTCCGATTTTTCAATTTTTCGAATTAAAAAAAAACAATTGTTACTTTACGACATAATATTACTTGATACAATCTCAATATATTTTCCTTTTTATAGTAGGACGTTTGATTTTATAAATAAAGACTTGCGGGAATTTAGCTTGGGATATTTTTGCGTACCAGGGATTTTCATGTAAAAATTCCTGTACTTCATCATTTATAACACCTACTGTATATAGTCTCAAAGTCACGGCTTACCATTCTTTCTACCGAGGAGCATTAATAGCTCTAGACACATTCCCCGATAAGTAATTTTATAAGGCACCAACATACAGTAGGTTGCCAAACTCATGCAATCCTACGATTTTTACAAGTAA